TTTCCGAATGTGCTCAAACTCTTGATAGCCCAGAGGGGAGTTACATATGGATCCTAAATCTCATATGGTGGTAGTGAAACCTTTACTTGCTTGGCTGAGTGTGTTGGTTTAACTTTACCTGGTTTTGAGGAACAAGTGTTATGCTTTGTTTCAGTTGCTTTGAAGTAATTACTATTGTAGCAGCATATGTGTGAATTTTCGAGAAAATTTTCTCACTAATATGTCATGAGTGAATGTCCTTTAAATGGTTTCAGCTGGGACAGGGTTAATTTTCTTCCCAGTAGCTGCTGTGTTTTGGATTTAGCATGAAAAGAGTGTTGATAATACACTGCTGTTCTTAGTTGTTGCTAAGAAATCCAGGACTTTTTTCAGTTTCCCATGTTTGGCAGGTGTACGAGAGCTGGGAGGGAGCACAGCCAGGCAGCTAACCCGAGCTGGCCAACGGAGATATTCCACACCATAGACATCCTGCTTGGTATAAAGATGGGGGTTGGCTGGGGGATGGGAGCTTTGCCATGAGTTTGGCGAATTCTGCGAAATCTGAGTTCTGTGACCACTGCTTGGGGGCTGGCTGTGCAATCGGTCGTCAGGCAGTGGGAGAAATTGTATTGTGTATCACTTGTGTTGCATATTCATTGTTGTTATTATTATTCCTTCCTTTGTTTTTTTTATTAAACTGTCTTTATCTCAACTCAGGAGTTTTACTTTTTGTCCGTTCTCCTCCCCGTCCCACTGAGGGTGGAGGCAGGAGTGGGCGAGTGACTGTCTGGTCCTAGTTGCCGGCTGGCCGGTTAAAACCTGACAGTGAATGAGTGTCCTAAAGCTTTCTGGGTTTGAGTAAACTGCTAGCAGATACAATCTGGAGCTGCCCTTGGCTGCTTTACAGACTTTTAATTATTATCTTTGATAATGGAGCCATTCTTCTCATAAGAGATGGGAAAAGGAAGCAAGATACTATGTTTCACTCTAGAAACAGGGAACTTGGGGTCGGGTTGTTTAAAAAGCCTGTATCCAGAAACCTGATTTTTGTTAGGAATGCTTAGAAAGGGAATAATGGATTCTTTTAGTAGAAGTAGTAGTGACATAGTGGGCTGCACTAGTGTGCTGAGAGTCTGAGGGAACCCATTCTTCCCCTGTACTTGGCACTGGTACCAGGAGTGCAGTGCCCGGTATCAGTCCCTCTACTGACAAAGCGGAGCAAGCCCGGTGGAGGGCTGCCTAGGTGGGGAGGAGGCTGGAGCACGTTTTGTGAAAGGTGAGGTTAAGGGAGCTGGGTTTGGGTAGCCCAGAAGAGACAGCTAAGGGGGTATCTAGTTGCCATCTCAGCTATACAGTGGGTGATAGCGGATGGCATAGAATCAAATTTCTGTTTGAGTTGCACAGTCTGAGGATGAGAGGCAGTGGGTACAGGTTACAGCAAGGGAAATTATAATTAAAGAGAAGGAAAAAACGGTTTCCAGCGCAGGTGGCGAAGCAGTGGAACAAGCTGCCCAGAGAGGCTGTAGGCTCTCTGTCTTTGGAGACAGGCAAAACCTGACGGGAAGCTGAAGTGTGTCTGTGAACTGATCTATCTGGTTGTAATTGAAGATGTGAATAAAACAGCAAACTAAATTTTGGTTCTATTGGAGGGGAGGTATGCAAGGAGATAGGTAATATCCTTTGCTGTATCTCATAAGCTATTAAGAACAGCTCTGAGTGTTTTTTGTTTTCAGGCTGCTGACCTGGAGAGTGCAGCCATCCTTCTGAGCAGGCCAGTGGCCTGTACTGGAAATGAGTTTTCCGTGCTGCTGGTCTCTCTTCTTTTGAAGAGTAAGTGACCGAAGAGGCAGTGAATTGATTTTAACAATATTTGTTCTTTGCCAGTGTTTTTGATTTTTTTTCTTTAAAACCTCAGATATCTTAATGGAATAGAGTTAGCTTTAGTTGCATTGCTATATCAAGTGATAAAAATTTATTTGGTACTTCCAAAAGTAAGCATTTCAAGGGTGCTGTCTGTGCAGTTGCAGTGGATGAAGATGCATTGGTGCTGGCTTCCTGGGGTTTTGTAGGAGATCTCAAAGCGTGAAAGCTTTTCTTCCTAGGTAATCTTGCCTGTTGAGTCTTACGGTGCTTTAGTGTAGTTGTTTCTTTGAGCATTACAGAATCACAGAATGGTAGGGGTTGGAAGGGACCTCTGTGGGTCATCTAGTCCAACCCTCCTGCCAAAGCAAGGTCACCTACAGTAGGCTGTAGAGGACCTTGTCCATGCGGGTCTTGAATATCTCCAGAGAAGGAGACTCCACAACCTCCCTGGGCAGCCTGTTCCAGGGCTCCGTCACCCTCAGAGGGAAGAAGTTCTTCCTCATGTTCAGACGGAACTTCCTGTGCTTCAGTTTGTGCCCATTGCCCCTTGTCCTGTCAATACAAAGCATTGTAGCTTTGTATAAATATTAAAAAGATGGACTGAGCTACAGTTGCAACAAAACACTGATGGCAGAAAGTTCTTTTCCCCTTTTTCATCCAGTGCAGGAGAGTCTGTATCAGCTGTTTCAGTGTCTGAGGACTAGGCGTTAGATTGAATCACAGTAGCTTAGTCTTATTCTGAGACAGATGGATGTCATATTAGTGAGAGGGTAAGAAGTCTGTAGTTGACAACTGGTGTGACTTTACCCTGGAGATCAGTTGTCGGAGTTTGTTGCTGTGCTGGGTTATGGAGCTATGGCTCCAGTTTTATCCTTTTGGTTACGTGGACTGAGCATGGTACCTGTATTTGCATCTGCTCTAAATTACTGCAGGTGGCTGCAGCTGAGGATGTTACCCGCAGAGAGCATGTGGAGATTAGTTAGGCAGAAAGTGAGAGTATTTTTGCTTTTTTTTTTTAATTCCAGCTGACTTTTACTGGAGTGAGTGGTGTGTGGTGTCGTTCACAACCATCTGTCTGCCTGATTTTAATGCGCGTGAACCTGTTGTGCAAAATGTTCTAGGCTAAAGCTTGGTTTGGGTTAGCTTAGAGATAGTCCCTGTTTGGAGAAAATAGGGCTACTGTTGGTAGTCGAAGGAAGTAAGGAATTATTCAACAAAAAAGTTGAGAGAGGCAGACTTCTAAGTCCTCCATATCCAGCCACTGGCTGTTAGGCTGAATGTAGTCTTCTGGATGCTTTCGACTGTTGCATTTTGCCTTGGCAAGAAGGGGAGTGGTGTCACAGGTGAGACAAATTCTGCCTTGCTGCCAAATACCAGTTGCTCCGAGCTTCTGTGCAGCAACTGCCACCCACTGTCTGTCGGGGCGGCAGTAGCCCGACTCTGTATCTGAGTCAGCAGCAGCTGTTTGTTGCTTCCCCAGCTTTTGCAGAAGTAACAGCCCGGCTCTCTGTGTTAGGAGCAGCAGTTGTCCCTTCCAGCTTCGCTGTCTAACAACTGCCTGGATCTCTGCGGCAGGTGCCAGAGGAACATTTTGAACAGCAGCTGCTGCCAGATGGGGAAGTCATCTGCTTTCCTGGGGCGTGGAGGTAGGCTGAAGCCTGCGCTGCTGAGGTGGGGGGTCACGGAGGGCCTCAAAACCCAGATCCAGCTGTTGCGGCTGCTGGGCTGGGACCACCCGGCAAGGGATTTGGGAGAGCAAGTCTGTCATCCTGCATTACGGCTTTCTGGAAGCACCTCCTAGGTTTGTCTTGAATGCCTTGAAGTCTGTCTGCCCTCCGGCTTTTCTTCTACGGAATTGTTTCCTCGGTGGTGACTTCTTTTATGTAACAGTGATTAAGGTGACCGTGCCAGTTAAATAGGCCCCCTAACCAAAGGTTAGCTGTGAGTCTTTCCAAGGGTTAAGCTATCCATCACTAGGGTGATGGTTAATCCGCAAAGCTACCTGAAAAAAATTTGGAGAAGCGCTCTGAGATTTTATTATATGCAAATCTAAATCTGCCTGGTGGAAACGTTTACCTGACCTGGAAGAGCAGGATGCTAAGAAAGATGCTTTAATATTCAATAACTTGTATCTTCAGAATCTGATTTTATGCATTTGGTGCGAAACAATAGTTTTTTCATCTTCACGTTCATTTTCCTCTTGTGTGGTCTGAAAAAAACACAGCAGAGACTGCACAGTCTCTGGAGCTCGAGCTGCTGTGAAGGGCAAAAATACTATCCTAGATTTAGAGGAAATGTGGAGAGGAGGAGGAACTTGTTCTACCTTTTCTTTCCCTTTGTCCTTCAAAAACAATTCTTTGTTATCTTTTTGTTGTGTAAAGGTTTACAAGTTAGTGAGCCTTGAAGGTTTTACCTTTACTGTGGTGACTTGTTTCTTTCAGTTTGATGACTGAGAGGATGTGCTAGTTGTTGATTGAATCAAGAGTTAGTAGTATTTGGTAGGAGTTTTCTTCTAAAATATTTAGAGCTTTTATTAAGTAGGTCTCGTGAAAATAAAGCTGAATAAATGTGTGAATTAAAAAAAGAATTCTCCTCAAATAGTGTCACTTTATTTGCTTAGTAACAAAGATGTGGTTTTGCGTCTTTGGAGCTCATCTACTTTGCTATATTTTGAAGGTTTTTTTTTCCTTCTGTTTCTGTGGCAATTTAACACAATTTTTGTTCCTATTAGTTTCTTGCTTGAGTAGAATGAAAGGCGTAAAGATGGGAAAAAAAACTTTAGGTATTGTAAGTAAGTAAACCCTGTGACTTCTAGTCTGCCTTCCTAGGTAAGTAAGGCATATAGCCTGATGGTGCACAGGTGTCCCCTGGACTCGTACCAATTAAATTATTGCAAATTTCATGAAAATATAGAGCCAGGTAACATGGAAAGAAGTCCATCAAAAGAAGCCCTTATAAATATTCCAGCCATAGGAAAAGCTTCAATCAGCCCTTGCAGTTAGGGATGAGAGACAAACCCGTGAGGAAGCAGCCGTGGTTAATTTTGTTGCTGGCAGAACCTGCTGGCTTCCCGCGGTGTGTTTTCCTCCAGAAAACAAAGGCAGAAGCAGGCCAGGTTGTGCTGGGAGTAATCTGTCGCTCCAGGAGTCCTTGACGTCATGTCACGCCTGCCAGTGAGGGACAGAGGGACTACCTGTCTTGTGTGCTTAATTTCTTAGGGAAAATTAAAGGCACGCAAACCGGATGATTTTCTTGAATTTGTCTTGCATGACATGATGCAGTTAAAAGGAAGCAAACTTTAATGTTTAATGGGGTGGGTATTTTTGTTTTAGTGATGGATCATGAAATGAGGCAGGAATTTGTATGAGGTAGTCTAGTGTTTGAATGTAGAAATATTATTCTGAAAGATGTTAGTTTGCTGCAACTGTGACATTAACAGGTTGTTGAGGAAGATCTTGGAATGTCTGTTTTCGTGGTTACGTTGATAAGTAGCATGTATTCATTCATTGCTGTCATTCAGCAATGTTTGTTTTCTGTTTTACTGACAACTGACAAAACCAATCCATTTCCAAATGGTAGTTTTGGAACTCCTTAAAATCAGATATTAAAAGTGATTGTAAAAATGGCCCAAAGGTTTTCAACAAAACTGCTTTTCTTGGGTGTTAAGAATTCTGATGTTTTTGATTTTTAGTTAGTGTTTACACCTGTCCATTCCTGTTACCCCAATGACTCTGTATTGCTCGAAGAGCAAGAGCAGGGTTCAATTTTAGATTGTAAATCACCAGCAAGATGATTTAGGAAGGATGTAGACATACAAGTGAATTAGTTTCTTACTCACTCTGCCTCTGTCCGCTGTGGTGAGTTGACTCCTTTTATTGTGTGTCTGGCAGAAGGGTAAGATAATTTTGTTTAGTTTATCTCAAAATAAAAGTATGTCAAAGTGAACTGAATTGATCTGCAGTTTGTATGGGCTAGGAGTGTGGAAGTCAGCTGAGCTGCAGGGGTGATATGGAAGAGGAGGCAGCTAAAACCAGTATTTGAACTCTGAATTCTGGGTACCGTCTACTCAACTTCTGTACAGCCCAGGGTTATTGTTCAGGTTCTATGGCAGGCTGGAACACAACTTGGTTTCTACAAAAGTCACACAGAGTTTGCAGGGCTGATAGATGAGAAATAGTAACTCTTTAGTTTGGTAATGACCAGATTTTTAAGTGAATTTCCCTTAACTGTAAACAGAACCTCAGACTGTCATTTCTGCAAAACTTCTTCCAAAAGTAAGACTACTTTGCAGCAGAGCTGTCAACATCAATTTTGGTGACAGGTTTATGGTAGTGTGAACACTCCTGTGATTTCAGAAATTACAAGCTCAAGCCCTGCACTCCTCAAGCTTCCCTGGCGTTAAGTGTATATAACCTTCATGTTTGCTACAGAATGTGTTAAAGTCTTGTCTCATTTTTAACGTCAGAAGTAACTGCAAGAAGTAATGGAAGAGAAGGCAAAATGATGCTTGTGAAGAGCAAAACTGTATTTTAACAAAATTTTTAGCACTCCAGATGCAAAGTGGGTGAAATTCAGTATTAACACAGCATACTGTGAGCAGTTCAAGAAATTTTATCTTGTTCCAGAGAGAATCAATCTGGCCATGGGAGCATTGTGGATCAATAGAAACTGCTGCCTTCCCTCTGCAGGCAAAAAAATCTCTAAAGTGTCTTCTTGTGAACCTCGTGGTCCTCTGGACGGGTCTGTTTTGTGTAGACGTACTGCATGTAATGCTTTGGAAGGGTGGAATTCCTCAGCATCAAGTTTGGGAAGAGAGAATTGGCCTTGAATGTCTCTGTGATTTCTTTTCTACTTTTTATTTCTTACATGCATTGTTGTAAATTGGGAGAAAAATCAGAGTATGGAAAATATGACCTGATGGGTTTTTATGTCCTGGGAGGAAAAAAAGTGTCTGTGCCTAGCCTGCTTTTTCTCTTATCACTTAAAGGAAAAAATGGGACTATATGTCTTTGGAATCAGGAAAACTGATCTGTTTGCTGCTGCTGTCTAACTCTGTGTTATTACTGTTAAAAGGTTGGATTTTTTAAAATGTAGTTTTAGATAGACTTTATATAAAATTTTTATATAACTGTGTGGTGGAGCAGAAGGAACGTGATCATGTTTCAGGTCGTGTAAAAGTCTGAACTCATCCTGTGTGCTTGAATACAGAGCATAGCTTTGATTAGGATGAAAGATAAATTCCAGAAAGGAACTTAACTGTTTCAGTTTTTCCCCTCCGGTGAAATATATCTGATCCTTCAGTGTGAGTGGTAGCAAATATGTGGCAGAATGAATAGCAGTGCTCTGCCTGCTGAAGTTGAATATTTGAAAAGGCATGGTTATCAAAAAAAGAAAGCGGGATGCTGGATCAAGGTTTTTGCTCAATAGAGGTGCTCTCTTGTATTTGGAATTAAGCTCAATTTACAATACCATTTTGTGGGATGTTATCACTACTTTAAAAATGCCCTTGTATTAGATTTCTTGAACTAGGTAAAGCCGGAGTATAGGGCTAGAATAAAGTGTGAGCATTTTGCCTGCAAGGAAAATGTATTAAATGTTTCATTATATAGTCTTCATTTAAAGTAGTTTCACAGGAGGTGCTCGTTTGTACATGCAGTAGTTAATAAGTTGGCACTTTGACGATCAAAAATTCATACCCAGAGTGAGTAGGGGTATAAGATGAGGGTGGAGGCAGTAGGGATTATATATGTGTTTCTGGCTTTAGACAAAATATTTCAGCCATCTCAAACATCATTTTACTATTACGTATTTTTGTGTTCCCTTTTGAGGTAGTATGAGTGTTTCATAATTTTGAACGTAGAATTTTCAAAACACATTTCTGGGACCGCACTGTTGTCCTAATTTAACAAGTAACTGCTTTGTCTTGCCTCCTTAGGTGGCTTGCTCAAGGTTACACAAGAATCCTGTGTTGGATCAGGGAATTACATCCAACTGTTCAATGTTTAAAATGTGAAGTCCGATTTCTGGATTACCCTCTCCTAACAAAAATGAAAGACTTATACCTTTCCTGTCATTCTGCTGAAATGAATTATAAGTATTAATACTCTGATTTTGATCAATGCTTTTGATTCTGTTCATTGCTTCTTTTTCTTTCTAGGCATGTACTGGTATTGAAAATATCGATGAAGCTATAACGTTGCTTGAACAAAATAACTGGGATTTAGTGGTAAGTATTCTAAGAAAACGACTTCATAGATCAACTTCATGTGACAGTGACGTGCCATCTTGCTGAGACAGCTATTATCTTTGTTTAAAATTTGGGTGTGTTTATGGCTGGGGCAAGCAAGTCATGTGCAGACTGTTTCTGGTCAGTTAAAGCCGTGTTGCCAAGTTAGCACGATACCGAGTTGTTTATACCCCGGTACACTCTCATTGTCTTCATGCCTTTTGGATTTTGATTCTTTCCCTTTAAACCGATGTTTCATACTGCGTTTAGTTTCCTTTTGGGTTAATTGTATGCATAATTTTGTGAGTAGTATTATTAAGCATAGCATTTTTAGAAGGAATCTTGTGTATACGCAAAAGATTTTTTAGGATTTAGATGCCTGTGAAAGGAATGGAAGGTAAAACAAGTTCTTCAATCTTTTGTGTGCTTCTAGTTTAATAATAAGATAGCTGCTTTTCTGTTGTTAGTTGTAATGCAGAATGGAGTCAGAGATTAAGGCCATACTTTATTTAGATTTGGTGTTATCCAGACACAGATAAACACAAAGAAAAAAACAATAAACAAATTAATCTTAAAAAAACCCCATCTTCTAGTTTGTAACGAGGTTCAATGTGAAGACAAGGAGGAGGAAACTAATAAAATAAGCAAAACATTCTTAGGTATTTTAAGACTCTGCATAGGATTATCAAGATAAATAAAGAAACTATTAATCCATTTTCTTAAGGTTTAAAAGTGTAAAATGGAACAAACTTAATTAAAAAGCAAGTGATCTTCCTTTAAACGGTAATACCTTTGATTTCTTCCTTTTTTTTCTTTTGTCTTTTCCAAATGAGTGATCTTCGGACCAGTCCAAATTATCAGAAAATTATTAAAAAAAAAAAAAACCAACTAGATTTTCCAAAATTGACTATGGATACAGTTTCAACTGTCTGCCACACTGTTGTCCCAGCATATTGTTTGGAGTGTTTTCTGTGTTTTAATAATTACGAACAAAGTATCAAAGAGGTTAGGGTGGGACTTTAAACTGAGTTTGTTAGACTGAATGTTCTGTTTCTTTTAAGGCATAATGACTAAAATGACATGTAATATTGTAACCTGCTGTAAACAAATGCTGTGCACTCCAAACACTTGAAATGAAATGTTTAAAATGAATGATGGCTAAAGTGTTCGGAGTCTTTATTTGGCAACACGTCTTGGTATAAGCAAGAATGTGACACCAGTGAGCATAAGAGGGAGCACTTCTCATCAGTATCTTCGAACAGAAAAACCCAAATGTGTGTTGACAGAGTGGTATAGTTAAAAACATCTTTTGTTGTGGTAGTTTGTTGTGACTTAGCATGGGCTGTTTTAAAAAATTGAAGTATTCATGGGAAGGTAAGGAATAGCCCTGTGCATTCTGTTCAGGTTGTAAAGTTCTCGATACAATGCATTAAATCAGTTGGATGTGGTTTGGGGGGATTTGTAAATTGCAAAGTACATGCTTTACAATAAATGCTCACAGGTGGGGTTAAATGAGAGAATTGTTATGAAAAATGGGAACAACAACTAAGGGGGTTTGGTTTTGATTTTTTTTTTTTCTTTGAGACTCCAGAACAAGCAGAAAGGGAGAGTGAAGTATTTAAAGCTGTAAGAATGGATACGAGAATAGCTTTAAACACTTCATTTTATGAGTGATGATTAAATGATCTAGAAGTAGAATATAGTGGGCAATAGAAGTAATGACCCAAAAATGCAAGCTTAGAAAAAGGCATATGGAAAGTAGGAAAGGAAAGAAAATTAGGGACGTAAGAGGTGCTTCTCAAAAGTACCTAGTTCTTGAAGCTGTGCGGAAGATGAATGGGAGGAGTGCCTATGAGAAGGAAATGGTCAGTTGTGGAACAAAAAAAATAAATTGGGGAGAGTAAAAGTGAAGAAGATGCCCTAAGAGTCTGTCATTAGTAGGACACTGGCTCCTTTTTATTAAAAGCAGCCTTCTTGTAAAAAAGGGAGTGAAAACCGAATCATGCTAATCTAACAGGGAGTTAGGAACAGAAGAGTGAAGAAAGAAAAGACAAAAGAAACATGAATGTAAGAAGAAAAGGAGTTTCTAGCTTGAGAGGGAATTGAACATCTCTTTGCTAGGCAAGGGATTTTAGCATTTCAAAAGTCAAAACAGCACATGAGAAAAGGCTTATGACTTAAGAGAGGTATAGCATTTTTAATTTTAAAATTAAAAGTGTGTGGTGGTTTTTTTATTTTTCTGTTGTTTTTTTAAATACGTTTGATTCAGTAGTGAAGTACAGATTCAGGACCAAGAAACTGGGGAGGAGGGAAGGCTTCATTCTGATTGAAGCAAAAGGTCTTGGAGTTTTTTTAGCTGAGATGAAAAATTTAAAAAATAATTTTGCTTGGCACTAAATATTTCATTCAATACAAAACATTTTTGAGGATTTGTGAGGAACACAGAACTTGTGGGACTTAGTTCAAAAATCAGGAAGACAGGAGTGAAGTGATGATTTTGGTAAGGGTTCCTCTATTGTCCTTTAACCTCCGATCCGTTAGGTAAACGGGAAGAACGTCATCACTGTCTTCTCTAATTTCACTTAGTTTTGTGCATCTTATTCAGAGGCATATTTCAAGTTCAATTTTTTGATAAACATGACCTGAATTCATAGACTGGGAATGAGCATTTTTTAATGACAAACATATCTTTGCTTAAAAAAAAAAAATAATTTTTAACTCATTCTGTAAGTGATTTTACAGTTCTAAAGTAAAGAAGTAGTAGTAAAATATAGTCATACAAGTGTTAAAGGTTTGGGTTTTTTTTGAGGGGGTGGGGGTGGTGTTTTTTTTTTTTTTTTTTTTTTAAATGTGGATTCCTTTACTGCCATGATTTTGGAAGTAAAATCAGAGCTCTGGGTTTGATCAGGAAAGCTTCCGTCAGGCAGCCAGGGTGATATGAAGTAGAAAGCTAAGCAAGTCCTGTTAGGATGTGATCAACCTAAGTTCAGGGGCACTTCTGCAGCGTGAGGCGGGGTAAAAATCCAAACCATAAGTTAAGGAAATTCTCATCTCAGGACAGATTGCTTTCTTGCTCTTCATGCAGGCTGGCTTTATCTCAGT